CGGCCAACTTGTTAAAGTTTTCAAATACCAGATGGTTCTCCATGTTGATGGTAAAACCTGTTGAGCTTTAAGTATTAGTGACTCTCTTATCTGCCCAACGGCAGATGGCCAAACTCGTTGGGACTTTGAAGTACCAGATAGCTTTCTTTTTCACCGCAATGGCTAGATGACCAAACTCTTGGGGCCTCAAGTACCAGATGGATCTCTTCTTTGCCACAGCAGCCAGATGGTTAGACTCATTAAGGCTTCCAGAACCAGATAATTCTCGATGTTAATGGCCAAACTCGTTAAACTTTTCAGTACCAGATGGCTCTCTTCCCTGCCATAACGGCTAAAGGCCAACTCGTTAAGTCTTCAAGTACCAGATGGTTCTCCATGTTGATGGTAAAACTCGTTTGAGCTTTTAAATATTAGTGACTCTCTTATCTGCCACAACGGCCAGATTGCCAAACTCGTTGGGACTTTGAAGTACCAGACAGCTTTCTTTGTCACCGCAATGGCTAGATGACCAAACTCGTTGGAGCCTTCAAGTACCAGATGGATCTCTTCTTTGCCACAGCAGCCAGATGGTTAGACTCATTAAGGCTTCCGAGAACCAGATAATTTCGATGTTAATGGCCAAACTCGTTAAACTTTTCAAGTACCAGATGGCTCTCTTTCCTGCCACAACGGCTAAACGGCCAACTTGTTAAAGTTTTCAAATACCAGATGGTTCTCCATGTTGATGGTAAAACTCGTTTGAGTTCTTAAGTATTAGTGACTCTCTTATCTGCCACAACGGCAGATGGCAAACTCCGTTGGGACTTTGAAGTACCAGATAGCTTTCTTTGTCACCGCAATGGCTGATGACCAAACTCGTTGGGGCTTTCAAGTACCAGATGGATCTCTTATTAAGGCTTCCGAGAGCAGATAATTCTTGACGTTAAGGCTAAACTCGTTAGCTTTTTAGTACCAGATGGCTCTCTTTCCTGCCACAACGGCTAAACGGCCAACTTGTTAAAGTTTTCAAATACCAGATGGTTCTCCATGTTGATGGTAAAACTCGTTTGAGCTTTTAAGTATTAGTGACTCTCTTATCTGCCACAACGGTCAGATGGCCAAACTCGTTGGGACTTTGAAGTACCAGATAGCTTTCTTTTTCACCGCAATGGTTAGATGACCAAACTCGTTGGGCCTTCAAGTACCAGATGGACTCTTCTTTGCCACACAGCCAGATGGTTAGCTCATTAAGGCTTCCGAGAACCAGATAGTTCTCGAGTTAATGGCTAAATTCGTTGAGGCTTTTTAGTACCGGATGGCTCTCTTTCCTGCCACAACGGCTAAACGGCCAACTCGTTAAAGTTTTCAAGTACCAGATGGTTCTCCATGTTGATGGTAAAACCTGTTGAGCTCTTAAGTATTAGTGACTCTCTTATCTTCCACAATGGCAGATGGCAAACTCGTTGGGACTTTGAAGTACCAGATAGCTTTCTTTTCACCGCATGGCTGATGACCAACTCGTTGAGCCTTCAAGTACCAGATGGATCTCTTCTTTGCCACAGCAGCCAGATGGTTAGACTCATTAAGGCTTCGAGAACCAGATAATTCTCGATGTTAATGGCCAAACTCGTTAAACTTTTCAAGTACCAGATGGCTCTCTTTCCTGCCACAACGGCTAAACGGCCAACTTGTTAAAGTTTTCAAATACCAGATGGTTCTCCATGTTGATGGTAAAACCTGTTGAGCTTTAAGTATTAGTGACTCTCTTATCTGCCACAACGGCAGATGGCCAAACCCGTTGGGACTTTGAAGTACCAGATAGCTTTCTTTGTCACCGCAATGGCTAGATGAGCCAAACTCGTTGGGGCTTTCAAGTACCAGATGGATCCTTCTCAGATGGTTAGACTCATTAAGGCTTCCGAGAACAGATAATTCTTGACGTTAAGGCTAAACTCGTTCATAAAATATATAGGAAAAAAGATAACAACTGTAGTTTACTTGCCAATTCACTTGGCTGCAACTTTAGCTTGAACAATTTCATATGTCGGCATTTATTAGAGCGATATAGTAGCTAATCTTGTGGGTTTTTGTAAGTAGTATCACTCTGGCTGTATTATAGAATTTGTCCCACTTTTTAGAGAGAGAAAAGCTTTGTCTTGCCTTATGCTTTTGTTTCGTAAAAGAAAGTAATTAATAAGATGTTCAAGGACCTTACGACAGGCTCAATGATATTTGCTCCTGGAAGATGCAAAGTGAAAGAAGCAGAATCTTGCGTTTGCGTATCCGGCGTTTTGCTGCATCTTTCTTGTGTTTTTTTTCTGCTCGGCCAGCAGAGAGCGGCGAAGTGCTGAAAACTGGCCACTTGCCGAAATCGCCAATAGAAGCTCAATGTTTTCTGGAAGAAATGGGCAAATTGCTGTGAGCAGTAGAAGGAAGCCTACCAGCGCACTAAGCGAGCGAGCGAACGAAAGAAAGAACCAAATGAAATAAGACTACTGTATTTTCAGAAAGAGGAGTCAACTGCGTTGCTTCAGCCACAATGGCGTGCTTGAGAAAATATAGACTCACGTTCGCATTTTATTTGACATACTCCGTATGCGCTCCATAGTGTAGCGACTGTGAAAGGCTCGAACCCCAAAAAAGCAGCGAGTTAAATAGTAAAGGACTTTAGCGTCATCAATACAAAATGGAACAGGCCATTCCGATCTGCCAGAGTAACCGCGTAAGCTGTCGTTGCGACCGTTGCAAGCGCTACTAATGCTGTTCATCGTTCAAAAAACGATGTCGTTACAACGCTGCCGCGCTGCTTGCGGCATTGTAGCGACAGCTAATACCCCTTCGAATTTAGAGAGGGAGGCTAGAACGAGTCTAGATCGTATGGCCAAGACGATACGAAACAGGAGGTAGAGAGGGAGGCAAGTAGGGGAAAAGTAGCGCACACAGCTTTAAACTTAAACTCTAAGCCTATGGTTGGATAAAGTAATCAGGGTCAAAGCTTAGGGGTGACGGTGGAAAGGGTTGAAAGTCTGTTCATCTAGGTTAACTCATACAAGGGCGACAAAAAGGACCTTGGTGCTCTAGTGTTGTGACTTCTTTCTTTGCTTCGCTAAGGATTACTGTTTGATGTCGACCGCTGGTGCAGCGATTATCACACGGTGTCTGTTCGCTTGACCGTGCGGACGGACGAACAGCGCAAGCTCACAACTGTCGCTTAAATCTGGATATAGGGACACGCGTGTCAGGGCCGTGGCTCAAGGAAGATTTAGATAGGCACTGCCGCTATTGCTCATTCCAGAAGAGCGTGGTGGAAAGAAAGACAGGCACAGTGCAGATGTACGGCCACTGCTAGAGCCCCATGGACCCTGCGCTGCCTCCCTCCTTCCCTGCGCTGGCATAATAGGATGTTGGGTTCGCTGGGAAGGGCAGTCGGTTTTCTGGGGCAAAAATGAAAATCTAGAAAGAACGAACCTTGAAGCAACAGCAGGTTATCGCCGAAATAAAAAAAAAGGAAAAAGAAGCTTCAAAATCCTTTTTCTGAGAACAACAACGAAAACAGTGCTATCAGCACAACGATGCAACCGCTACATCTACATATAGGCACCATTGAGCTGGACGTACTGAACTTGACTATACGTGGGAAAACAGTATTGTGGTCTGCTTTTTTCTAGTCTAGCCTTCGCCGTCCGTAAAGTTAAGCCAGGGAATCGAAGGTATGAAACAGTAGAAATTATCATTGTGCTAATGCGGTCATATCTAGATCCTTACCATGTTTCAATCGATAGCCGTTCTAATTCAGAGATACTGACAAGAAGTGAACAGGCATACCTAGAGACGGAATCGAGCATACCAATGACATGAACAAAGGCTGCTAGCTATAATTTAGTGCAGAACAGAGATACTTATCGGTACTTCGAAATTTGGATTCGAAAAGTAAATATGCTCGCAGTGTTACATTTCAATATTAACAGGCACATATTTGCGCATCAAAACTTGTTTAAGGCTATTCGGCCTTGTGTTGAGGAATAGGCACGAGAACATTGGACAAATGTGAAGTGACCAGTGGCTTCAAAGAGTTTAATACAATATACACTGTAAGATAGTCTATTGGGATTCGATTATGCAACTGTATACCTATGCTTAAAGCCTAAATATGATTACCATCTTTAAAATCTTTACAGCGCTTGCGGATTTGTCAAAGGTCTTATCCTTCATACGATTTAAAGGGCGCTAAAGGGATTGAACGAAAGCATGAAAGTGACGAACTATGTTTGTCTCGTTCAAACTTTTAATAAGCACACTGAACAAAGGAGCTGAGTAGAGGTAAAAGATCGCGTCTCTCTCGCCGTGTGCGTTTTGGTCTAATGATAACATCCGGCCGGTTGAGTCATCGCTTCCGGTAGATCTAAAATTTGTCGTTTACTGCTAGGACCACTGAACACCTGCTCTAAAAGATAAAACGCAACGGCTTTAGTCATAACACTCGCATAACGTATCGGCAACGCATTTTTATATTTTCAGTATAAGGTGACTATACTAAGACAAGGGGTCCGGGGAGATTGTAGATCTATCTTGCGCATGTTACATATGTAAATGCACCAATTTGATTTTCCAGAAACGTGAGATTATCTTGAATGTGGAGTTCACATGTGAGTCGTGATAACGAGGAACTGCTTGCTATTTTCGAATAATGCGAGTCTATTGAAGTTAAAGGAATTCTATATTTTTAGGCTAAACATGTACATACTTAATGTATTTTGTATTGACAGCACGTTTGTCGATGGGGGTATTTTTGCAAAAACACCAGGTTTTACGAAAGTGAATAGTTTATTTATGACGATTATTCATCGGAAATGTAATGAATTGCAGTCATTTTTATTTACCGTATCGTCATTACCGTTAGCTGGCTATTAAACGGTTATGAATAGACGTTTCGCTGTATTGAAAGAAAGCTATTGAAGTACAGGCGCGTATATAGGTTGGTTATTGAAGACAACAAGGATATCGGGTGCCTGTTCTTTCGCCTCATTTTGAGTAACGCGTATCTCATATGGGCTGCAGACAATGATAACGATGTACCGACCATTCCAGAGCTGATCCGGTATCGATCTGTGAGTGGCTCACTTGCTAAGGTGTAGTCTGTACGGGGAAAGCGTAGTATTACATCCGTTGTCTCAGAGGATGGAATGCTAACGACATCTCTATTGATAAGTCTACGTAAAATACTCAGATTATACCATTAGCTAAGACGATAACTAATATGATGTTTCGTAAACGAAAACGGGAGCTGGGAAGTGGACTATTGATCAAACGTTTGCTCGATCTTCGTTTAAACAAAAAAAAGTGAGTAAAACGAGCCACAAGAAAAACAACAATGAACTAGTAAGTGTTTGAATAATCAAAAGGCACTAGCTTTACTCGACTCAACTCCTACGTACGGTCAACGATACCAAGTACACTTCACGAGTTTGCAGGGAAACGCTAGAGAAGGAGTGTGAGACAATTAGACATACAATGAAAATTTCCATATTTACTCTGAGTAAATGTGTTTCTTAGATAAAACACATATTTATGATCGTTGAAAAGACATCAATGAGTCATTAGAATCATTCGTAACAAGCTCTTCGATTGGGGAAGCTGGTATTTTCTCTATGATTACGTTATTGTAAATGTTTACATCGAAAATGGATAAGCAATGATATATGTTTTATTCCTGAAACGAACGATTCCTAAACTCTGACTGAAGTCCATGCTTCCAGAAAGAATATATTTTGCGAAGCTGTTTAGCCAAAAGTTGTATGACCTAATTACCAAAAAGGTTATTCCAATTACCAAAAAACGAAGATGAATAGCCTTCTGCTAAATACAGGCAGGTTCAGGTAGCAGTGCTTATTTTAGGTCCTCCATTCCGTGAAGTCCGCAGCAATCCCGATCTCTGCAGTTCGAAATTGGTCGGCACAACTGCGCAGAAAATCATACAAAAGTTAAGAGCTGAAAAATGTTTCAGCTTTTTTCTTTATATGATAATCGGCTCTTTTTTTCATGTATATCTTAAAAATGGGTTATTTTGTTTATATTTTTTCGTAAAACTCTTTGTCCATCAATGCCGTATGTGCGTAAGGAATATTTTATTATTTATATAAATTCTGCCTATCATTTGCAGTCGAGTATATCATCCCTGCTAAGGCAGGTCAACATGTTCGCATTTGAAATGTTTGCTGAATACCTGCTTAGAAATGCGAGAATACGATATAAATTCATAACAGCTAGCGTCTTGCGACGTTGGGTCGGACTAGATACTTATTTTCCGATATAGCCAGTGTACGTTAGTCCCTCCGCATGTGCATCGATGGCTTCGTGGTATAGACCATACTTTGCAAGCCATCATCTTGCCTCACTAGCTACCCTCACATGCCGGTCTGGCACAGTCACATACACACCGATTTATATACTTCTGCTTCTATCGCTATTGCCGCCATTTGCACTCTACTTCCTTCACGTCCGTCTGTCGTGAATGCATCCGAGGGAACTCAGCTCCAGGACTACGTTTTTACGTGGCACACGGATTGGGCTACGAAGGTCGTAATAGTCGGAAGGTCACAAAGAGAAGCCCAAACCTGAAAAGTGAAATATAATGATGGCCGTGAATCAAGGTAAAAAAAAGCGTCTCTATACGGTTCTGCCCGAAACGCTTTTAAAACGATGAGTGAAAGGAAGGTTGGTGCGGATCAAACCGGACTCAGTCCCCACAGGGATTGCCAGGAAGGTTTTGCCCGGAAGAATAATGCGCACACATACTCATACACGTATATACATTGCTATCGATATCTACGAGCGACTCCAATCAAATCGATGTCTGCTGCAATGAAGCTGCTAGGAAATCAGACAGATGTACGAATTGGTCAAACTGCCGGCCGAGTAAATAATAAAGCCTCCGCAGTGTGGGCATTGGATGTAATTATAGGTAGACTGTTATTAGGGATAAATGTAAAAAATGCGTAGGAAATATAAAAATGTCAGGGTGAACCTGCTGAGAAAATGTGTGTAATATAAATGTTCATACTATAGAGATGTTCACGACAGCTATATAGTATTAACGTTTCAATTAATTAACATCCACTGAAGCTCTGTCAAGTTGTCACGCTCCCAACGCAAGTTAACTTTTTTACTTATCTATGCTGAATTATTGTACTGCCTAGTTGGAAGATCATTTTTCATAACCAAATTAGTCCAGTTATAAAAACAGCTCACAAATGACCGATCATCAACTTAGTAGTTTCATTGATAGTCCTAACTGAAATTAGGTAAAATGCATGACGAACTCGACCCTGGCTAAGAGATAAACTTCTTAAAATGAAATGCTGAAGGCTTCTTTCGCCCTTCAAGACGACAGAGCATGTCAGTGGTGAAGAACTGACTCAGTGCAAACTTTGAGCTGTCTACGCTCGAGGGATAGCTATCCTATAGTTGTATTGCCAAATTCATTCAAGCATTTTTTTTTCAATGCTCTATGTCGCCAATAGTTCTCGAACTTACTAGATATAAAGTTACAAACGTATTGTATTTTCGCTGCGATTGAAAACGTTATCAGTATGTATGCTGCTTAACTGTTAACGTAAAGCTACTAGCCAGGTGAGATCGCATCCTTGTTTTGGATGACTTTTCTAATGACGCGCAGCTCTTGCTTTGTGCATACGTGGGCCTTCTACAAATGTACTTTTCGTCTTAGTCACTGGACGTAAGCTTTTAGCTTTAGATTAGCTTGAACGGAAGGTTTTGCGGGCTTGTCACAGCTCCCGGCGCTTCATTTTGTTAGTGACGAAGCCCAGCAACCGTTGCAGGTAGCATAATGAATGAAATCGATGACGAAGACAACGACCCCAGTAATAAAAGAAACAAATTGTGAAACACAAATTTAAAGCGTGACTGAAAAACTCGCGACATACTTTATTTAAATGAATACAGTTACTGCAGAACCAATAAAAGAAATAACTTTCTAAATACGGCGTAAAGGCTGAACAGTTTGAAAGCTCACTTACTCGATTTGCTTAATAAGCGCTTGTGCAACATATAAAAACGCACTTCTACACCAGTCCTGTAACGTAATGCTGAAGGAACTATTTAATTCTTTTCAATTTCACCTTTTACTTTACTATCTCTGTTTAAACAGAGAATAAATCACGAATGCAACTAGAAATTAGTAATTAAAATGGTAAATTTAAATGGGTGATTGCCGACGTTGAGTATAAGTTAGTACAACTTCTCACAATGATGCAACACGAGAACTTCTTTTTGTTTCATGTATCCTCAGAAATATGGTCACGTCGAGCCGTTTAAACCTCATACTGCATTGACACCGAGGTTTAGACGTGTTCCTATATGATTCCACCGGGTAAAGTGACGTTCAGGTACGAATCATGCGTTAAGTCGCACATTTACATTATACCAGAACTGCTATCATTTTGAAATGGGTGTCCACCTGGTCTGGATGTGTGTAGGCTATAGCGTGTTGCTACGATCACTTATGCGTTGCTTCGTCGTTGCAGTAGAAAAATAGGGCTCGCTATCGGCCCTGGTTGCTACCATATCTAACAAAAACTTCTCGTCGCAAACAGCCAGATATTGATTATGACATGTAGTAGTAACAGTTGCAACTATATCTAGCACAATTTAAATGAACAGATTAGTAGATTCTACATGCACGCGTGGCGCTACCAAAATATGGGTAAGCCTATAATGTCAGCATCGCAGACATCTTTGTACCCGTGTAATTATTGTTTTGGCCCCTTGAGGCACGTACAGATCGTAAGTATAACGGATAAGTAACTGCGAGTCAATAATCTTTTTGTCGTTAGGATATCTTCATGAAGCTATAAAACGAAGTGTAAATCTTCATCTATCTGACAAAATTACTTTGACACAAGACACAGCCGCATAGTACGTTTTCCGCGAAAAATCCTTGAATTTAATTTTATATATCACCTAACGTAGTAGATAAAAATTACTACTCGAAGCGCAGATAGATGGACTCCTTGCAAAACCACAGACAGACATTTTCATCCGTCGGTCTTTTATTCCATGAATACCCTAAGCACCGACGTCTAGACGAAATTGTTGGCAAGGAGTAGAGAACATTTTTCTTACGAGGTAACCTTATTTGATCTGAAATTAAATCACAGACTACGTATGATTACTTATTATTACACAACTCAAGGTATTGGGAAAGTTTTTCATTTGAACGTCGAATATTATGGATTTAAGTGTATCACCTGTGTTTACTGCAAGTTGTCGTTACGATCCCAAGTAGATACTATGGGCTATTGTACTGTAAACATACGTCTGCGGTGTGAAGCTTCGCTACGCTTGTTAGTTTACATAAAGTTATCGCTTGCGTATTGCCAGTAGAATGCTCAAGGCTTAACTCAAGGCTTTATTTCGTATTGGTAATAGAACGATCAATATTGCCACACAGATTTTCAGTATAGTTTTTGCCGTTAGTAAAAACACGTATGGTCAGTGGTTATTGCATTTTAATGCCAACAGCAGATAGGATCCGTCCGAGGTAACCGATGACTTCATTTATCCCAATAGAAAATCAATGAGAGTTTTGTTGTTAGTAGTAAATATATAGTGGACGCTCATATAGAAGCTGGAAAGAAAGATGACTTTGCCAGACGCCAGTCATAGACAACGACTGCGTAGTCTTTGACAAAAGGATGTTATTTTTTAAATTACTGACTGACTGACTGAATGAATGACCCGACTACTGAGGTGGAATGAAGCGGATTTCGCAAATCGTTACGGTGCTATGGAGATAAAGGCGATGTCTTGTAGAATATGGATTTCCGGAATCTGTTGCATACTTAGTGCAAGGACACCGAGAGCCTTTGCACTTAATTATTTAACACTGTTATTTAGTTAACATTTAATTATAAATATTATTTAACACTGTTAACAATAACTAACATTATTACAGTAATTACACACTATCAATAATCACTAATAAAGAAACACTAACATTTTATGTTGTTTTTCAACACGAAACCACTATAAAAAATTATGGATGCGCTGCTAGTCAAAGAAAATGCTACGCACTCCTCAATGTTTTCTATTAAGGGCCAAGGCGAGGCCTCACGAGTCCCATGGACAACGACGATCCACTTAGCTTATCGGTTCGCATATTTTCGATACACATGCCCGTATTGCCAAAGGGCCTTAAGTTCTCAGTTTGCTTTTTTCCTATTTTCTCAGGCCTACCGTACCCTGGGAGAAAAACACCATGCATCTGAAAATAGGGACAGATGGAGAGAGATAAGTGGGCGGTTTGAGGTCAAAACCAGAAGGGCAGCCGACTTCAACAGGGACTCCAGATGGTCCCAACTGAGAAAAAAGAGGCTTTCTTCAAAGACGCTTAGGGATTTGTTTCTGCTTCTGATGCCTATATACCTGTTACCGATAGCATAGCGGTATTAAATCAAATCAAATATGGGAGTTTCGTCGAGCCTAAAAGCTGTCGTTTTAGCATCCTGGTGCAAGTGTACAGTTTGCGTTACCGTCAGTGCCAATCAGCGCGCATTGTCCTACTGCTTCCTTTTGCTATTGTTATCCACATCTGGAAAATGCTATCAAATAGAACGATGCGGAATGCTTTCACGTAAGTAAGATCGCAAGTTGCTAGAAGATAAACTTGCGTTCTAGCTCGCCTTATTACAAGTATCTCTTCTTTTTGGCGGGTTGGAAACTGCTTTTACTTTGTGATCCTGTTGCAGGATGCCACGGTACTTGAATGATTGCGTCCCAGACAAGAAGTTTCTCGGGCGCCCAAGTAGCGACAGCAAAGTTCGGCCGAAAGATTAAGTGGCTTTCCTACAGGAAATTGACGCTGTCTGCAGAGGTTTAAAGATAATCTCGTTGACCATTGAATGCCGAGAATATCTCTCTCCCTGAGCAGTGGGGCCCATGTTTCCTGTCTCAGTGATTCTGTTATTTCATTGGGCATATATGTGTGGGAAGCATATAAGGAACTCGAAGTGAAGGCCAGAAGCAATGCAGGGAATGTTGTTGTAAAGCATTGTCTGTAGTAGTGGCGAGAGGATGGCCGGCAGCCACTTCTTCTTAGACCATTAGACTAGTCTAGTCTAGTCTTTAACGCGTTCGGTTAGTCCCATTGTGTGAATAAGTCTCTGAAATTACATCTTTGGTATTACATTAGGGACTTACTCCCACTAGAAAACTTATCTGGGTCTTGCTGGGCTTAGTTTAGAGTCTTGGTTGGGAGTCATGTCAGACTTTATCGAGGAGCTTACTTTAGATAGTTTCCATCAGCGGTCTTCAAATTGTGCGGTCTTTTCCAGACGGGCACTCCAGCGGAAACATAAATGTGTCCTTTGCATTGCCTGTGGCGAACTCAAAGTGGGCTTTATCATTAGACAGGGAAAAAGAACTCATCAGATCCGTGCAGCTGTTGACGGAACCTATACAGCAGCTCTCCACTAAATACTTTGCAATCCCCGCATTCACCCCTGAACCGGAAGGAAGCTTGATGCCAATTCCAGTCAGCGAAACTGATTCGGAATCTTCATGAGCCCTGATTTTGTTTGTCATCGAGCAGGTCAAAGCAACGTTCTAGCGGATATATGCAATGCAGGGAATTGATAGTTTCGCATGGAGAATGTAGCGCTGAATGGCCATCTAGTGTGAGAAGTCTAGAATATGATGTCTGTATCCTATAAACTAGCCTAGGTAAAGATTTGCAGATATTTGCTTATGGATCTAAAAAAATCTCCTCATAGGAACCAAGGTGTACTCAAAATAAAGTTTTGGGAAAATTTTGTCGCTCTGTTCATTCATGTACAAATACGTTGTTACAGTTAAATGGTCTGCTATCTCAGTCAAATCGGGATAATGAAGGTAATGACACCCAACGTGTGATTTAATATTGCGATTTGCCGTAGCTTCCATGAAGTTAGCTCACAAGGAGCCCTGGTAAAAAGAAAATGATAAACTTGTCCGATTAACTTAAGCTGAAAAAACAAAAAGACTTGAGCAATATTTTAAACTTTCATGTGTAGATATCAAATTTTGACCTGGTGACTATGTTCATATCCTTTACGACTAGGCAAGCGACGCGTGTTTCGTCAGCTACTGTGCTCGGTACTTCGCTCAGCAAATTTCGAAGTGTGAGCGATTCACCGTTTTTAAGTTCCTGTAAAGCACTGTAGTATTTTACTATAATACTACAAGTTTATAATATTTATTTAAACTTAAACTTAAAATTAATAGAACTGTATTTTACAGTTCTTTTCGCTATTACCGACTAGCGACTTCGCCAAAGCTCTAAACAGTCAAATTACCACTAAATCGTCTCTGGTTATGTTCTGATTATTTAATAATATACATAATGTGCATGTTTTACATAAGCTATAATCGGTGTTGCACCTACAGGAATTCCAGCGTTGACACAGACTCAGCTTAAACTTAAATTATACATTTAAGTTCCTGTTTCATGTAAGGAATCTTTGTCAAGTCACTGAAGTGTCACAAGAAGTAAAACATATCTCCTTGTCAGTGCAACGCGTATTTGATAAGATTCTACTATTATTACATTTTTTTTTATTAAATACATTATTTCATGATATTGTTAAGGCAATTTTAAGGTCAATTGAGATTCCTCTGTCTTGTGCTGTGACCGATACGATGCAGTACAGACCCATGTCTAGCCACCAAAAACTCATCAGTATCATGACAAGCAACATAAAACTATATTTTTCCATTTTTCAACATGTGGGCTTTGCTTCTTGCTGGGCTCAATCAAGTAAGCAACCCCCTTCCCCGCTACTGGTAACTCCTCCTCAACCGAACGGGAATGTTGAGACATTGAAAATGTAACCTTTTCAAGTGTCTTTAATCGATTCTTCCGTTTTGTTCGTTGGCACATTCACAGTACACAATCGTTAGATACGTTCCTCTTCATCAGGCAGGCTGCATATTCCCGAACGTGCTTGTTCTGATCAATGCGTTCAACCCCAACTGGGGTCAGAATTTTCGGCAAGCCACCGAATTTCGAATGTGAAGCACAATTACTATTTTACTAACAATACAGTATACGTTATCTTTTAATTCATGTATTTTTTTCAGAAAATAAAAATAGTCAAAGCAACTTAACGTCTGTCTACTAGAATCAGTTAAGATGAATTTATCATCTAAATGATTCATCATCAGAACAGCACCGCCTCGTGATCCAACTATTCACACGATTTTTTTATTTGCTAGATAAGAATCTGAGACAATGACAAGCATGAAACCTCTACCCCACTACGCTACTCAGCTAGAAAACGTTCATGTAGAAAGCCCCACATTCAATGAGCGTTGTTCTCTACATAATTCTACAATTTATTTGTTGTTAATGATACATGGCATTTTTAAAAGTTAAATGTAGCTCTTAAGCACAGAGGTTACTAATATAAATATTGAGTTTTTGCCCTACTCTTCAGTTCATAAGTAA